GTTGACATGTCGTGGGATTGTTAACCAATGTTATAAAAGAACATGTGTACTGACTGTTTAATGAGAAACTATTTGTTCTGTAAACCTTCACCCGAAGTACAATTAAAAAAAAAAAAAAAAAAGAAGAAGTAAACATAGTAGAATTAGGTGTGTTTGTGAGACAGTGTGGAAGCATTCTGTGCTCATCCCATTATATTCACTAAGCCTAATAATAGCTAAAGGGAGCGGGAGAGAACTTGGAAATGTACTAGTTAAAATTACAAAAATGAAAACAAATATATTGCCAGATGAAATTCTCACTAAAGCATTCAAATCATTTAGGCAAAATTTCCTTCGGATATCTAGGCAATTTTATGTAATATTTTTATTTTCTTTAAAAGATAAAATTGATGTTCTTTGCAAGGACTCCTTTGGATTAACAACTATGTATTGAATATTTTCTATGTTCTAGGGCAGAAGTTTAGAGATATAAGGGTGAAGGAAGAGGCAGGGACATGTCAAAGATATACAAAACACTTTTTTTTTATTGACCTGCGCAGTTTCAAACCAGATACACTCTTATACACACACATACACAAACACACACACACACACATTAGCACTACAGATATGAATTTAATATTTAAAAAATCAAGAGCTAAATGATGTAACACTGGCCACCACCGAAGCACAACTTCCGGGAGGGAATCTATTAGTATATACACAAGTATTCAGTGCTGGCTTCACAGAGAATATAAGATGCACTGGAATAGAGAGAGAACATTTTGAGTAGCATGAAATCCATGGAGGTAGAAACAAATATATTATTAGAAAGGCGTTGAAAATACCAAGGCTGACTCAAAAAGAAATTTTGTTGAGAAGCAGAAAAAACAAACAAAACAGACTTAATAAACTGAAGCATGAAGCCACAAAAAGCCTTGAAAGTTGGTTGTAAGAAGTGGAATATGATGGGTTATTTAGGACTGTATCATAACATAATATTGAACAGGGAGTTAACAGTTGCATCTTCCTTCACTCTTTACGTACACTATCTCAAAATAGCCATATAACATAAGAGTTACTATTATTACCTCCAGCTGAAGACAAAAAATGTCAAGTTCATGTGTGCTTTCATTTACACCAGGGGAATTGACAAAGCTAAGACATGAACACAAGTCTTGTGAATTCAGATCCTATGTGCTTTCACTATGCATCAGGAAAACGTAAGTTTTGAATAGCCATTTAACCTAGAAATCAACTAGATAATTAAAGTATTTACAATAAATACCAAGCACATTTATGTCGGTCACATCCATCTATTCAATCATTCCAAAACTTAATATTGAGCACCTAGCATGTGCCAGTAACTAGTCTATAGTCCTTCATCCAAACAAATTGTTCAAAAGCATACATTTATTTTTACAGTTGTGAAAAAATCTCTTTATACTTGTGATTTTTTTTCGCAACTGGATTTTTTCACACTTCACTTCCATTTGAATTTTCCTCAAAATTTTAAGTGAAAAAAAGGTATCTGGCATTTTTAAGAGATTGCCAGAAAGCATTTGAAGAAATTCTACTGAAGGGGAATTCAGTGCATAGGGGTCCCATTTGAATTCAGTGGAAACATTTTTGTTGAAAGATAATTATTTGGGGCAACAGGGTGTGCTACAGGTTTTGCTGTCATAAATTTTTCTGCTTCAGAAGAATAATGTGTGATGAGCCTTGTCCAGTGGGGGAATATGTGCTCCTGACAAGTTGCAATTTACAATATTTCTGTAAGTCATTGTTTATGTCTCATTTAAATGTATTTTCCTGCAAAAGACTTCAGAGTGCAGGTAATTAGAAAATTGCTGTTGAATGAATCGTCTTGTTTTATCTTTCTTGTTACAACTAATAAATGTTTGCTGAGTGAATGTTGACTGAGGAGGATGTGCTGCTTCATTAACTAGTCAGAATTATACTAACTTTAATAGCTGCCTATTTAGAAAAGATAAAGATAAATTTCCTCTTCATTTACAGTTGTTCACCCTAACTTGATATGCATATATGCATACATTCATCCACAATATGGTGCTCCCACAATATGTTACTTCTGTTTTAATAGTCATAGTTTTGTGTGCGTGCGTGTGTGGATAGAGAGAGAGAGAGAGAGAGATAAAGAAGGTTGTCGCTATGAGTCAGAATCAACTCGACAACACGTCTGATTTTAGTTTTATCCAGTTTTTTGGAAGTACACAGAATAAGTTATAAATTTCCATAAAATACTAAATTTTCCTATCTGTGTGACCTTGGAAAGTTTATTTCACCTCTGGGACCCTTAATTTGCAAAATGAGGATAATAATAGAATTTTGAGTTATAGTGAAGATTGCAAAAGATAGGTCAAAAATAAACACAAATGTAGTCACTATTATTTAACTCTAACCTTAATACCTTAATAGCTTAAAATTTCACAAAGTCCCTTTGATGCATTGAAAGTAAATATATATTTCAAATCATGACTCTTTGATAAAAGTTATACCTGTTGATCTGGCTCCTTAATATTTTCTGCCTCTCTTTTATGTAGTGGATGAAGTCTTCTGGGATAAACCACTTCATACATCTTTACCCCTGGGAGTTCTTTTATAGCACTTACTGAAGGGAAAAAAAAAAAAAAAAGGTAAGAAAACTTAGGTAGGCAGTAGTGAAATAGGCCAGTCAATAACGGTCATCCTTATGACATTCGCTATGAATGATGACATACACCCAGACCATAAGTGAGTTATGTGAGAGGGTTATTAAAATGCAGATACCAGAAGAGATGAACAAAACCAGAAAACCCACTCTTTCTCCCAAATGTTCACTTTAAACTGTATCTTCAAATATTTACCCACTAAAGGTTTACAAGTGTTTCTCTATTTAGGGAAAATTTTTTTTTCAAATTTTTCTCATTTTTCTCTGTTATATTGGATCTCCTGGAGTGGGTTCCTAAAAAGGGAGGTAGCAAGTAGTACAAGGCAAAAGACAAGGAAATCAAAAGCCAAACTACTCATCTGAAAAGCTAGTCAGTCTCAGAATAATTGAGATGAAACACAACAGTGTTATAAAAATGAAGTAACTAATGTGTGCCATCTCCGATTCTAATGCAGTGTTCTTGGATTTAGCAATAGTAATGTTTTACACTGGTGAAAGAAACTAGGGCACGGGAAGAAAATCTCCAATAACAGGCCCATAGAATGAGCTGGCATTATCAGTACTGATAAATTTTTATGTTTGCATACAAAATACATTCAAAAATGAACATTAGGGTAGTAGAAAATTAGAAGAGCATCACCGGCCTGGAAGGAACTTTTCTGAGCCTGCAGTCATATTGAAAGGGAAATAGAAGGTTATTTATCTGAATCAAGAATTCTCATCTTAGCATGGTTTCTAGTAGTTATTTTAAAGAGATTCAAAGTTTTCTCAAAGCTAACACTGGTTGACTTCTGGGGAACACGCTGTCCCTCCACAGCAAAGATCCAAAAAACTAAGTCAAACAGAGTCACGTGTCAATCCTGAAACCCTAAGCATCAAATGAAGAGATAAAGAACTCAGCCAAGCACCTAATGGAATAAGAAACTGACTGAGAACAGAGAGCTAGGAGAGATACATGCAGAGGTTCCCTATCTGCTACCACAGCACGGATCAGCCGTCTTGGATTCCTATCAGAGATCAGTGAACAGGGGGTATGAGAAAGCAGCTTCACAGAGCTTCCAGCAGGAGACAGAACAACCGGTAACAAGCAATATACACTTTCCCACCCCAAACCCTTCTTCACCCCTACTCGGCCCCCTCTGCTTCCTGTGGCCACAGTCTCTTGGCTGGGAATCACTGGCTTCACTCCAGTGCCACTTGGATTCCACCTGCCCTCACTGCCTGGCTCCCTGAGTGCCATTTGTTGCTTGCTGGTGTTGCTTTTTTCTGCCTCATTAGATTTCTCCCTTACCTCTCACCACTTCCCCCTCCTTTCTCTCAAATACCTGGCTCCGTGTGCCATCTTTGCTTCTTCCTGAAAGCTGCGAAACACCACTCGACTGTGAAACTGCTTCCCGGCCCGTGCTACACTCTGGTGGGAACCCTGGGGCTTTTTGTTTGTTTGTTCATTTGTTCTGTTTTGATTTGTTTGTATGTTTGTTTTCTTTTTCTTTTCTCGGCTTGGGAGCCCTTTCTAGCTGGGCAGTACCGTGTAGCTTAGGAGCTACTCCCTTACTCTGCGCAGACACACAGTGACATCTCTGGGGGCATTTCTTTTTTCTTGGGTTTTTTGTTTCTTTGTTTTGTTTTCTTCTCTCTCTTTTTCCCTTTTTGTCTTTCTTCATTTCCGGTTTCTCGTCTCTCTATAATTACCTTCTCTTCCTGTCTCTTGAATACATGGCGCTGGGTAACTCCTCTACCCCTTCTAGCCAGGCTGTATTTCACGGCCTGAGAGCAACTTCTCCAGTCCTAGCAGCTGCACCAGTAGGATCCCTGGGGCTTTTCTTTCTTTCTTTTTTTTTCTTTTCTTCCTCTAATTTATATTCATTCATTTTTTTCTTTTACCCTTTTTCTTTTTTTGTTTTGTTTTTCTCCATTTGTCAGTCTCTCATCTCTTCACTCCAATAGCAAGTTCCCTTAGCACCTTTTTTGTTTGTGTGTATGTTTTTGGCTCCTGTTCCTCTCTCCTATCTCTACTTTTTCCTGTACCCATCATAGCTACACACATCACAATCTACCCCCTCCTTCCTGCCTACCTGCACCATGTGCTGAACATCACATTCCCAAGCAGCATAAGCACAGCCTACCAGAACTTACCTTGCACTGATTCCCGGTCCACACTGTCAGCCCTGGTATATGCCAAAAACAACCCATCCCAGCAAGTCCCCTTCAGTTGGTCCTGCCCTACTGTACCATACCTGAGTGACTGACCCTGCCCATTGGAGAAGGAGGTGAAAAGTATCATGCCCAAAGACAAGCAAACAACAAAGAACTCACAGCATGCCTACTCAGACATAACTAAATAAAACAAAAAAGCAGGATGAAACAAACAAATCTACAATCAGTAAACAAGGAAAACTACTACTGAATGCCCCGAAGACAGCAGACAATATCAAAACATATACAACCATATACATATGGTTCTAGTAGGCATCCAAAGTAAAACACCAGATGACTTTCCAGTAGAAGAAAAGGTACTAGAACTATCTGATAGGGAATTCAAATATCTAATATTCAGAATTATCCAAGAGTTGAAGCAAAAAGTAGGCAAAAATGAGGAAAAAATAGACAAATTCATGGAAAATACAGACAGAAAAAGGAAAGAATTCAAGAAAATAATACAGGAACAAAATGATAAAATAAATTCACAAATAGAAATCATACAAAAACAACAATTAGAAATCCAAAAGATAAAAAACAAGATTTCAGAAATGGACAGTGTCATAGAAGGGCTGAGGAGCAGGTTTGAAATGATGGAATACAGGATCAGCGAAATTGAAGACAAACACTTGTATACATCTCTGTTTGAGGAAAAATCAGAAAAAAGAACAAAGAAAAATGAAGAAACTCTGAGAATTATGTGGGACAAAATCAAAAGCAAAAATCTGCGATTGATCAGAGTTCCAGAACAGGGGGAGAAAACAGAAAACACAGAGAGGATCATAGAAGAATTGCTGACAAAAAACTTCCCCAATATCATGAAAGAATAAAAGCTGACCATCCAAGGAGCTCAATGAGACCCATATAGGATAGACCTTAAAAGAAAATCACCAAGGCATATCATAATCACACTCCTTAAAAACAAAATCAAACAAAGAATCCTGAGAGCAGCTCGAGAAAAAGAAAAAGTCACATACAAGGAGAAACAATAAGACTGAGCTCAGATTATTCAGCAGAAACCATGCAAGCAAGAAGGCAATGGGATGACATATATAAAATCTTGAAAAAAAAATTGCCAGCCAATAATAATATATCCTGCAAAACTCTTCTTCAAAGACGATGGTGAAATTAGCTCATTTCCATATAAAAAGAAATTAAGGGACTATGTAAAAACCAAACTAAACTGACAAGACTTATTAAGGGAGTCCTTTGATCTGAGAACAAACAACATCAGATCACAGGCTGAATATAGGACACAGGATTGTACTAGCCAGATGCCAACCTAGGAAATGAACTCTTAAGGACTATCCAAAACCAAAAGAATTACAACAGGGAAAAAGAGAGGTTAATCTGCAAATGACAACAGCAACAGAACAATAAAAAAGGGACTAAACAGTGTAGATACAGAACCATCTAATAGAGAGGAAGGCAAGGTGATACCAAGTAATAATAGACTGGTTCAAACTTAGGAAGATAAGGGTAAATTTCGTGGTAACCAAAAAGAAAGTTAACAAACCTACTCATCAAAATAAAGAAGAAAAATGTAAAGGCTCAGTAAAAACAAAACCTATAAAAACAAAAGAAATGAAAAAAAATTAACAAACGAAAGGAATTCAGCACAGGAGAGTATGAGGAGCAAAGAAAATGTCAGCACCACAAAGAAAAGCACTACAAAATGACAGAAATAAACTCACATCTATCAATAATTACACTGAATGTAAATGGACTCAATGCACCTATAAAGAGATGGAGAGTGACAGAATGGATAAGAAAACAGGATCCGTCAATATGCTGTCTACAAGACACACACCTTAGAAATAAAGATGTAAACTGATTAAAAACCAAAGGATGGAAAAAATATATCAAGCAAACAGCTACCAAAAAGGAGCAGGAGTGGCTGTATTAATCTCAGATAAAATAGACTTTAAAACAAAATCCACCATGAAAGACAAAGAAGGACACTATATAATGATTAAGGGAACAATCCAACATGAAGACATAACCATAATAAACATCTACACACCCAATGACAGGGTTCCAAAATACATAAAACAAACTCTAACAGCACTGAAAAGAGAACTTGATGGTTCCACAATAATAGCAGGAGACTTCAACACACCACTCTTGGTAAAGGACAGAACATCTAGAAAGAAACTCAACAAAGATACAGAAAACTAAAGGATACAATCAGCCAACTTGACCTCATAGGCATATATAGAACACTCTGTCCAACAGCTGCAAGATACACATTCTTTTCCAATGCACATGGAACATTCTCCAGAATAGACCACATCTTAGGCCACAGAGCAATCCTCAACAAGACCCAAAACATTGAGATAATACAAAGTGTCTTCTCTGACCACAACGCCATCAAGGTAGAAATTAACAACAGGAAGACCAAGGGAAAAAAATCAATTACGTGGAAACTGAATAACACCCTACTTACACATCACTTGGTAATAGAAGAAATCAGAAATGGAATCAAAACATACCTGGAATCAAAACATACCTAAAATCAAACGATAATGAAAACACATTATACCAAAACCTTTGGGATACAGCAAAGGCAGTTCTCAGAGGACAATTTATAGCAATAGATGCACACATCGAAAAAGAAAGGGACAAAATCAAAACATTAACTACAGAATTCAAACAAATAGAAAGAGAACAGCAAAAAAAAGCCCACAACTACCGGAAGAAAGGAAACAGTAAAGATAAGAGTGGAAATAAATGAAATA